AGAGAAGTGGATTTTAATGAAAGTTTCATTTTTTTTCTTATTATGACAGAATAACTGGTACTAGCTCTGACTGATAGAATAAACAAACATCATATCCGGATTGTAAACAAACACGATATAAGCGAAAACACGAAGGGACTATTCAATGAAAACAAATGTGAACAAACGGAAAAAACAGCTGTTACAATAGTAGAGAGCCCTACAAAAAGCCCTACAAGTTCATTTTCCGCTTTCTGATGTTTCACCAATGGAAGAGAGTCGAACCAGAGAGCAGAGGTTGTAAATGCACATACGACATTCGAATGGTCGACAGAGAACATTGAAGTTTATGGTTGTATTACTAACTACTTCTATACTACTCAGTAAGTCACATGAATTACATAGGAAGTACCCAAGTGGCGGAAGTAATGGTGCCTTTTGAGGCCTCTCTATGCTCTCACTCTTTAGAGCTCTAACAGCCTCAGCTTACTTAAAGGTTACTTTGTAAAGAAAAAGTATCGTATATCTTTCTCTTGAATGATGCACCGGAAGGCTGGGTTGGAATTGTTTCAGATCAAATTACTACTTTACATCCTTTACTAATGGTGCCTTTTGAGGCCTCTCTATGCTCTCACTCTTTGGAGCTCTAACAACCTCAGCTTACTTAAAGGTTACTTTGCAAAGAAAAAGTATCGTATATCTTTCACTTGAATGATGCACCGAAAGGCTGGGTTGGAATTCTTTCAGATCAAATTACTACTTTACATCCTTTACTAGTTTTCACTTCGCCTGCGGATGTGGCATGCGTGGGGTTGTACCGCTTCAAGGTTCTTTGCTGTCCAAGATTCAGATGAGACCCATTTAGGGGTCCAAGGGCCTCAATAATCATCGGTAATCGGAAGAATTCGAGTAGAGGCTAGAATTTTTGGCTATAAAATGCACGAAGAGTTCATAGATTAGGCCATTGAAAAAAGCGTGTGTGTGTATGTGTGTGTGTGGTGTGAGTGTGGGGTGGGCGCACGGCTGTGGGTGGCCGATGGCTTTGGGATGGCATTCGATAGATAGCCCGAAATAATCGGGTCAGCAGCAACTAGGGATGAACGCCGGCCGGCTAGATGATGACTCGGGCAGCAAGTGAGAGTGACGCTGCCGCAGCGGCGCTATCAGAAGGCCTGTCTCTCTCTCATATGTCGTCCATTAATTCATCGCCCCCACCGATCTGTGATCGAAGCCAGCCCACACACTTTCTCACGCCACCCACCAGATTGTCATCGGTTCCTGAGACATTATAATGGCAATCAGCGAAACTGTCACACATGTTTCTTCATAGACCGAATCCTCCAAGGCCATGAAAGGGCTTTCCATTTCTTTGAGATTGGTTAATCCGTGCAACAGAAGGATGTTGAAGCTGACATGGAAGTCGTTATGACCTGGGGATGGAAGACTGTGGAAGCTCAAAGTTTAAAAAGGAGCATACTGAGTGGAACATCTCGGGAATTCTTGTTCTTTTGTAGTGTTTATAAAATCAAACAGAAGTGGGTTGGGGGTGATGCCACTGCGCTACGTTACGTGTGGCTCGTGGACGGAATTCTAGATCAATATCTATACAGTGCATTGAAGCCTTCCGAACCTTCGGAAGGTGCAAGGCCGCC